CGGGCACGGCGAGGTGTCCTGGGCTGCCTCGGGGTTGGGCGGCGGCACGGTTGCTTGTGCCCTGCCCTGGCGCTGCTGTTCCGCTTCCCGCAGCCCAGGCGCAGGTCCTCCTCCTCCTCTCCCTCCTTCCTCTCCCCTCTCTCCTCCCTCCCTTCACCTTCTCTTCCTCCTCCTCCTCCTCCCTCCCCTCCTCCTCCTCCTCCTCCTCCTCCTCCTCATCCTCCTCCTCCTCCTCCTCCTGTTCCTCATCCTCCTCCTCCTGTTCCTCCTCCTCCTCCTCCTCCTCCTCCTCCTCCTTACTCTTTGACGTTGCGCACACTCGATGCAACAGCATGTAGCGTTAAAACCTCCTCATCATCCTCCTCCTCCATCCTCCTCCAGGCCTCTCAGATGGGGTCCGGTGGGGTCGCAGGATCACGCCGCATCGCCGATGCATCGGCGCTTGGCGCGATGCGAAGCCCGATGTTCTCCACGCCAGCGTCGCCAAGGAATCGCCGACGCCGCCGATGCATCACCGACGCATCGGCGATGCTGCACGAGCCTCCGACCCCAGCTGCTCGGACCTCATCACGAGGGCATCTGGCAGGGCACCGCCCTGCTGGCGATCATGCTGCCCTCGGTCGTGAGCATGACGACGCACTGGGGCAAGGCGGCGGGGCGAAGAGCGAGGAGCGGGGAGCCAGAGGAGGGCGAGTCGAGACACAGGCAGTCGGCCAGCCTTCGGGGGGGCGATCGTCGCCACGGCTGGACGCATCTCGGAAAGCTGGTGCGTGTGGGCACCGGGAGGGGTCCGGGGACCGATTTTGAGTTGCCGTTGGCTCAACTCGCCCTGCTCCGAGAACGAGGAGTGAGGAGCGATGAGGGCGAAAGGTGGCACTGCAGCGGCAATATGCATGTGTCACAAAATACTTCCTGGAGGCAGAGGTGGGGATGAGCAGGAGGAGGAGGAGGAGGAGGAGGAGGAGGAGGAGGAGGAGGAGGAGGGAGGAGGAGGAGGAGGAGGAGGAGGAGGAGGAGGAGGAGGAGGAGGAGGAGGGGGAGGGCGATGAGAAGGAGGAGGAAAAGGAGGAGGAGGAGGATATCCGCAGCTATTCTTGCTCAGGCCGCTCAGCAGCGAGCGAAAGCCCCATTATTCAAGCCGGCGAGATGATGGTTCCCTCGGCCGGAGCAGTTGATGGCGGGCGTCGCGCTGATGTTGGTGGTTACGGGCAGGGTTGCCAGCTGGGCGATCCTCGGAGGAGTCGAGCGGCGCGGACAGCGTCCACGAGGAGGGCTAGGGGAAGCGCGCTGGCAGCTATGGTGCGTCTGACCAGCGGATGAAGAAGATGCCCATTCTATGTTCGTGATCCTGGATCCGGAGATCCCCTCCATGTCAATCGATTGGGGTGGTGCGCTGCATTCCAGGTTAACGATGATCATTCCTGTGCTGGCGGTGGGCCTCTCGGGCTCAAGGTTGCCGGGGGTGGCGAGAGCAAGGCGGAACCTCGAATTGCACGACTTCGCAACGCCAGTGAAGATCATCCAGAAAGCTTCGCAGACCGAGTTGAACGCCATCCAGAGCGTCCAGAGGGACGTCAGGAGGTCCAGCAGGTGGTAGAGCCCGTGGCGCCTGCAGTGGGGCAGTCTGCTTCTAAAAATGTCGGCATGTGGTGCTCATGTGGCGCGGTGGCCTTCTCGGCGTGCGCTGGAAGCCACGCTGGAGAGCCGCCACGCGAGTGTCGTTCATGCTCAAGCGCGAGGCGGATCGTTTCGTGCCGCTGGAGTCGCTACACTTGCAGGTGATCCATTTCCCAGGCTCGCATCGGCAAAGGTCAGCCCTTCGCCCGTCGCCGTGCGCGGCTCGACGCTGCCGCAGAGGTTGGTGCCGACACGAGCCTTCGGTTCTCAAGGTGGCTGGCGGGTTTGCCAGGCAGTAAGGCTCGTAGCTTGTTTCTGGATGCCCATGGCCGTCCTCGTGCGCGGGACCGTGAAGTTCGGCCTGGTGCTCCCGTCTCTGGCATCGGGCCTCCGCAGGAGGCGGAATTCCAGCAGCAGTGAAGGCTTTCGACGCTCTCTCTTGGAATGTGTGTTGTTATGATTGGGTTCTTTTGTGTTGTTCAGCCTCGGAGTGCTGTTGCAGCATGGGTTGGTACCTTGCGGAATGTGATTTCCTGATAAACCTCAGAATTATTGCATGCGGGTTCTTGGCATTATGAGTGCCCAGTGCGCGTCGTTGCAGGTGCTCGCCGTTGTTTGTCAAGGGTTTTTCTTCACGGCGGTAGTATGTCAAGAGCGTCTGCATCGATGGCCTCGGCTTCGAATTCAGCACGAGGAGGAGGAGGAGGAGGAGGAGGAGGAGGAGGAGGAGGAGGGAGGAGGAGGGAGGAGGAGGAGGAGGAGGAGGAGGAGGAGGAGGCGTGCAAGGCAAGCGCTCCTCACCATGAGCTCACAGCACCCCAAACAGAGCAGTGAACGGTAGGGTCCGCTTCGAGTATTCGGGTGCATGGCGTGGCGTGTGCGCTGTGTGTTCTCGTGGGGCCCCTCGGGCTGTTCACCAGCTGCTGTGGGTCTTTGCACGTCCTCCTCCCCCTCCCCCCGCAGTAGCATGCAGGAGCTCGGAGGAGGAAAAAGGGTACCCATACCTCTACCCTTCGCCCGTTTTCCCTTTCTCGGCCTCCTCGGACGCCCTCGTTGCCACCGCTGGATTCGCCTCGGAAGCCTGGTCAGAACGCACCCCGGGAGAGGTCCGAGGAGTAGCGGTATCGGTATCTTTCGGTTTCCCCATAAGCAGACTCGGTTCCGTCGTGGCTTGCGCTGCGTCTGAAGGGCGGGCAGGGAGCAGGGGACCGGGTTGGGGCGACGCCGCGTGCCGAGGCGGCGCTCCGAAGTCCGCCCCTTGGTAAGAGATGCTCCTTCTTTTTGTCTTGTTTCTGCTCCTAGAGTGAACTTGGGACTCATGCGTGCAACCTTGCAAGCGGGGAAGAGGAGGACACGGCCCTGTGAAAAGTGCCTGAAGGAGCTCATGTATGGGAACATCGGTATTATTGATCAGCGTGTTCTGCACGGTGGGACGCTCATCTGGCTGACCCGAAGCTGTTTTAAAGGTTGTTGCTGCAATTATAATGGCCCCGGGTCGAGGTTGGCGAAGCCGTGCTTGAAGTTGACGCCTGTGCCAGCCGTAAGCCTCCTTCTGGGCATGTCAACGATCTCCTTCTTGGAGCCTTCCCCAGCGTCGCCCGAGCCAATGCGTTCCCAGACGCTTTGGAACATCTAGGCCGTAGTAGTAATGGGCGTTCTGGAACTTCCCCCATCGGCACTCCCAGGTGCCATGCAGGCGGGATGAGGTCACAGTTTGTGGTAACCATGCGCAACGTCGACCTTCTCTTTGGCGTAATCTACTGGTGCGGTGGAGCGCTGCATTGGCTTTGCCTGCAACTCCTCCTCTTGCCCGGCCCGGCGACCCAAAGGCTCCTGCGCCCCTGTGGCCGGCAGCTCGCCGAGCGCCCGTGGCAAGGCTGCCCCCGGAAGGCGCATGCTCTCGCCTTCGATGCCGCGTGAGCGCGTCATCTGCCGCCAGCAGCTCGGCCGCCGCCCTGCCCGCCGCGCGCAGCCGCCGGGTTCGGCGCTCTGCGGCAGACCGGTGGTGGCGCCGCCGGCGCCACCCTGCCTCCCTGGCGTTCGGGTGGAGAACGGCGCTGGGGTTAAGTCGGGCATGTCCTTCTACATGCAAGGGGAACATTCAAGAAGAGTCACAAAATAGTCTGGGGACGAGTTTTCGACTATCTTCGACTATTGTTGGGTATGTTTCTTGCTATTGTCCGTTATTCTTCCAAGATCCGCCTGTAGGAGGAAATGCCCGACCTAACTCTGGCGGAGCGCCCCTGGCGCTGGCTCCCCGAGCACGCGGCTGGGAGCCGACGCTGAGGAGGGGGGAGGAGGGAAATGGAAGGGAGGGAGGAGGAGGGAGGAGGAGGAGAAGGAGGAGGACAAGAAAAGCCCAAGATGCATCAACAGCGCTGCAATACACTCCCGTCCCAGGCCCCCTGCTCACAAGCCACTGCAATCCTTCCTGTTCGCTGCAAGAAGCAACCCCGTCAAAGACCAGTACCCCATGGCCCCGTGGGCCTGCCGTTCAGTTGGGGGCCCCGTTCTGGCAAAGAATTGCCTTGCATGTCTTTGCGGAGTACATGCGAAGGTCTGGTCAGACAGTTCAGCGAAGTGTCCAGCGAGAAGCAGGACCGCCTTCACATCTGTGCAATGGTTGCACGAGTTTACGGCTCTTACCATGAATTTCGAGGACCTCCCGAGCGAGAGACCCATTTTGAAGAAGGTCTGCCGTCCATCCGTCTCCAGCGAGACTCCAATGTCTAAAACATGTGTCCTCTATCCATGATGTTGTTGCAAATTGTGTGTTAACCCAAATGTGTATGGCGCTTGGGCGAGAGCCACACTGTGCAACATAACAACTTTCAATCCTCGTGGTAGGCACAAGCTGTTAAGTCGAATGTGCACGGCGCTAAGACGAGAGCCACCCACATGTCGAAGAGGAATTGTCATCCATCCTTGTAGCTGCTGCAAGCTTTTAAGGCGATCGTGCGCAGCGCTGTGGCGAGAGGCACATTTTGGAAACCACCCGTCGTCGCTCCGTGGAACCTGTTACACATGTCAAACTTCAAGCTCATATGTGGTGAGGAATTCTCAGGCGAATTACCCAGCCCGCCCTACCGACACGTCTGGTGGTCAGACAGGGAGGAGCTATCCATAAGGTAAGGGGCGAGGGAGGAACGAGGAGGAGGAGGAGATGGAGGAGGAGGAGGAGGAGGAGGAGGAGGAGGAGGAGGAGGAGGAGGAGGAGGAGAGAGGAGAAAGGAGGGACGGGAGAGGGATATGGGAGCTGGAGGATGAGGAGGGAAGAGGGATCGGTGAGGAGGCAGGATCCTCGATCTTGCTCCGCCACCCTCGGTCCCGAGGGCAACGTCGACCGGTCCATCGCCCCTTTCGCCGTCGCGGGGGCCCTCGCGGGCGGCCTCGCGGGCAGCTGCGTCGCGGCGGTGGCGCCCGAGCGCACTCTGAGGAGCGCCGTTGCAGCCGCCGTCGTCGCCACCCGTCTGCCCGCGGCCTCGTCCTCCGCGGGGGGGCCCACGTGAGCTGGAGCTCGAAGCCGCCCCCCCCAGTTTTGCCCCGACCCTGCGGCTGTGCCCGGCCTTCAAAGCAGTGTGCCTTTCGGCCGAGGTATGGGGGCGGGTGGGAGCCAGGGTGCATCTATGATGCAACGCGTGCTGGGAAGTCCTTCTCTCGACCCCGAGCCCTCGAGAGGCGAGTTGGCCACGCGAGCAGGTATAGTCGGCCCAGTCCACGCGGCCACCGCAGGATGGTGCTGACACGCCTCTGCAGAGTCGTTCGTTTCGTTCGTTCACCCCATCCTCCTCCTCCTCCTCCTCCTCCTCCTCCCACTATGGAGGAATAGTGAAGGGAACCGGGAACCGGGAACCGGGAACCCGGGAACCGGGAACCGGGAACCGGGAACCGGGAACCGGGAACCGGGAACCGGGAACCGGGAACCGGGAACTGGGAACCGGGAATTGGGAACCGGGAACCGGGAACCGGGTACCGGGAACCGGGAACCGGGAACCGGGAACCGGGAACCGGGAACCGGGAACCGGGAACCGGGAACCGGGAACCGGGAACCGGGAACCGGGAACCGGGAACCGGGAACCGGGAACCGGCCGGGCACCGGGAACCGGGAACCCGGGCACCGGGAACTGGGAACCCGGGAACCAGGAACCCGGGAACCCGGGAATCCGAATCCGGGAATCCGGGAACCGGGAACCGGGATCCGGGAACCGCTTCTGCTCCGTTCATTTCTGTTCTGTCGTGCCCCGCTGCTCCGTTCGGTTCCGTTCTGTCCCATTGTTCCGTTCTGCTCTTGTTTTGGCTGCAGGTTTGTCTGTTCTGTTCCGGGCCGCACCATCGTCCGTTTTGATCTGGCGTGCCCCGCTGCTTCGTTCTGTTCTGCTCGTTCTGTTCTGCTCGTTCTGCCCCGATGCTTTGTTCTGGTCTGTCCCGCTGCTCCGCTGTGTTCTGTTATGTTCATCTGCTCCGTCCTATTCTGGTCTTGGCCGCAGGCTCGTCTATTCTGATTTGGGCCGCAAGCTCGTCTGTTCTGTTTTGTTATGTCCTGGTGCTCCGTTCTGTTATGTGTGTGTGTGTTTTGTTATGTTCTGCTCCGATGCCCTCGTCCGTTTTTGTTTTGCCCGCTGCTCCGTTCTGTTTTGTTCTGTCCCGCTGCCCCGTTCTATTCTGTTGGGTTCACTTTGCTCCTTGTCCAGGCCGCGTTCGCGTGGACCTGCGGATCCAATTCGGTGAGGTGTTGCGAAGGGCCGGCTGTTTCTAGGAGGAGCCGTGGCGCCTTTCCCCTTTGCTCTCCCTCTCTCTCTCTCTCTCTCTGGGAGGGCGGTCTTGCGTAGATTTCTTGCTCGGAATCCGTGCGGTTCCGCGAAGGGCTGGTTTACTTTTAGGAGGAACCCAGGGTCCTCCACGTTTCTCCCTGCGGAAGCCAATGCCCCGAGGACCCCTCCTCAATTACATGATGTTTTGCGCCGGGTCGTGTTCCCAGGAGGAACTATGGCGCCACCCCAGACGTGGCTGCCTCTGGAAGGGCGGTTCCGCATAGAGTTCTTCCTCGGTTTCCGCGCGGTTTCGCGAAGGGCTGGCTCGTTTCTAGGAGGAACCTTGGGGTCACGTTGCCCCTTGTTGTTCCTGTCGTGACTGCAGGCTCGTCTGTTTTGTTCTGGGCCGCAATATCATTTGTTCAGTTCTGGCGTGCCCCGCTGTTTCGTTCTGTCATGCTCGTGATGTTACGTTATGTTCTGCCCCGATGCTTTGTTCTGGTCTGTCCTGCTGCTCCGTTGTGTTCTGTGCCGTTCCTCTGCTCCGTTCTTTTCTGGTCTTGGCCGCAGGCTCGTTCATCCTGTTTTGGGCGGAAAGGTCGTCTGTTCTGTTCTGTTCTGTCATGCTGCTCCGTTCTGCTATGCGTGTTCTGTGCTGTTCTGCCCCGATGCTCCCGTCTGTTCTGGACTTGCCCGCCGCTCTTTTCTTTTCTGTTCTGTCCCGCTGTCCCACTCCCGCTGCCCACTCTGTTATGTTGGGTAACTTTGCTCCTTGTGGAAGCCGCCTTCGCGTGGACCTATGGGTCCAATCACATAAGGTTTTGCGAATGTTTCTACGAAGAGCCAGGGCGCTCCTCCCCCGACGTTGCTCCCTCAGGGAGGGTGGTCTCGCATAGGTTTCCTCCTCGGAATCCGTGCGGTTCCGTGAAGGACTGCCATGTTTTTAGGAGGAACCTTGGGTCCACGTGTTTTCCTGTGGACCCCCCCTCAATAACGTGATGTTTTGCGCTGGGTCGGCTTGTTCTCAGGAGGAACCATGGCCCCCCCCCCTCCCGGACGTGGTTCCCTCTGGAAGGGCGGTTCAGCGCAGAGTTCTTCCTCGGATTCCGTTCGTTTTCACGAAGGGCTGGCTCGTTTTTTACGAAGAAGCCTGGGTTGACGTTGCTCCTTGCGGGTGCCGGGTTTCGCTTGGACCCGTCCCCCCCATTACGCGGTGTTTTGCACAGGGCTGGTATGTTTCTAGGAGGACGTACGGCCCCCCCGATGTTGCTCCCTCTGGGACGGTGGTTTCGCGCACACTGTTTCCTCGTAGTCCGTGCGGCTTTGCGGGGTGCTGGCTGGTTTCTAGGAGGAACCTTGGGTTCACGTTGTTCCCACATGGGGCTGGCCCTGGCCATGTTCGCTCCCTGCAAAGATTTGTGCGAAGGGCTGGCGTGTTTCTATGAGGAACCCTGGTATGCTCGCCCCCTGCATACATAATTTGCCGAGGACTGCCTCGTTTCTAGGCACAACCTGGGTTTCCGCTCCCCTTCCCCACTCCTCCTCCTCTTTCCATGTTCGCCCATCCCGGCTACCCAGCCTTTTGCACTGTCCGTTTTTGTTTACGTTTCTTCATGCTCTTTCGCACAGGGCCGGCTTGTTTCTAGGAGGAGCCGTCGTTCCCTCATGTTTAGCTGGATGCACCCTGGTTCGTGACAGCGCGGCTTCTCCCAGAGGCTTGCGCTTTCTGCCGCATGGGGCTGGCCCTGTCCATGCTCGGCCCCTGCATGGAGTATTGCGAATGGCTGGCGTGTTTCTAGGAGGAACCCTGGTATGCTTGCCCCCATACATTCACAATTTGCCAACAGCTGGCTCGATTCTAGGCACAACCTGGGTTTCCCCTCCCCCTCTCGTCTCCTCCTCCTCCTCCTTCCATGTTCGCCCATCCCGGCTACCCAGCCTTTTGCCCTCTCCGTTTTTTTGTTTCCTTTTCTTCATGCTCTTTTGCACAGGGCTGGTTTGTCTCTAAGAGGAACCGTTGTTCCCTCATGTTTTGTTGGATGCCCCCCTGGTTTGCGACAGCGCGGCTTTTCCCAGGGGGTTGCGCTTTCTCCCACATGGGGCTGGCCCCGGCTATGCTCCGCTTCTGCACGGGTTTTTGCGAAGGGCGGGCGTGTTTCTAGGAGGGACCCTGGTTTGCTCGCCCCTTGCACACACAATTTGCCCAGGGCTGCCTCGTTTCTAGGTTCGTTCCTAGGCATAACCTGGGCTTCCCCTCCCCCTCCGCCTCCCCACTCCTCGGATGCTCCCTGGTTCGTGACAGCGCGGCTTCTCCCAGAGGCTTGCGTTTTTTGCCACATGGGGCTGGCCCTGTCCATGCTCGGCCCCTGCATGGAGTATTGCGAATGGCTGGCGTGTTTCTGGGGGGAAGCCTGGTATGCTTGCCCCCATACACTCACACTTTGCCCAGAGCTGGCTCGATTCTAGGCACAACCTGGGTTTCCCCTCTCCTCTCCTCCTCCTCCTCCTTCCATGTTCGCCCATCCCGGCTACCCAGCCTTTTGCTTGTCCGTTTTCTGTTTACGTTTTTTCATGCTCCTTCGCACAGGGCGGGCTTGTTTCTAGGAGGAACCGTCGTTCCCCAGATTTTTTGTTGGATGTCCCCTGGTTCGCGACAGCGCGGCTTCTCCCAGCGTTTTCTGCCACATGGGGCTGGCCCTGTTCATGCTCCCCCCCTGCAAGGAGTATTGCGAATGGCTGGCGTGTTTCCAGGAGGAGCCCTGGTGTGCTCGCCCCCTGCGTACACAGTTTGCCGAGGGCTGGCTCGTTTCTAGGCACAACCTGGGCCTCCCCTCCCCCATCCCCTCTCCTCCTCTTTCCATGTTCGCCCATCCCGGCTACCCAGCCTTTTGCTTGTCCGTTTTTTGTATACGTTTCTTCATGCTCCTTCGCACAGGGCGGGCTTGTTTCTAGGAGGAACCGTCGTTCTCCACATGTTTTGCTGGATGCACCCTGGTTCGTGACAGCGTGGCTTTTTCCAGAGGCTTGCGCTTTCTCCAACGTGGGGCTGGCCCTGTCCATGCTCGGCCCCTGCATGGAGTATTGCGAATGGCTGGCGTGTTTCTAGGAAGAACCCTGGTATGCTTGCCCCCATACATTCACAGTTTGCCAACAGCTGGCTCGATTCTAGGCACAGCCTGGGCTTCCCCTCCCCCTCTCCTCCCCTCCTCCTCCTCCTTCCATATTCGCCCATCCCGGCCACCCAGGCTTTTGCCCTCTCCGTTTTTTTGTTTCCTTTTCTTCATGCTCTTTTGCACAGGGCTGGTTTGTTTCTAGGAGGAACCGTCGTTCCCTCATGTTTTGTTGGATGCCCCCTGGTTCGCGACAGTGCGGCTTTTCCCAGGGGGTTGCGATTTCTCCCACATGGGGCTGGCCCCGGCTATGCTCCGCTCCTGTACAGGTTTTTGCGAAGGGCTGGCGTGTTTCTAGGAGGGACCCTGGTTTGCTCGCCCCTTGCACACACAATTTGCCCAGGGCTGCCTCGTTTCTAGGTTCGTTCCTAGGCACAACCTGGGCTTCCCCTCCCCCTCCGCCTCCCCACTCCTCCTCCTCTTTCCATGTTCGCCCACCCCGGCTACCCAGCCTTTTGCCTTGTCCGTTCTTGTATACGTTTCTTCATGCTCTTTCGCACAGGGCCGGCTTGTTT